TGGTTTCTCTGCTCTGCCACCTGAATACAACACTAGCCTTTTCAGGTGATTTCCCCATCACACTGTCTCCCTGGGTCACAAGGTCAAACCTGTGTTTTGGAAGTAGCGCTCCAGAGGCTGGGATTATGACAGAAAGGGCCCTCTGTCCCATGGGCCCATCTGCCCAAGGTGATTCATTCCCATGTCACATATTTCTAAACTCTTGTCCTTGCCATCCCCAGAGTTTTCCTAATCCCGTCTGGCCAGTTCCTCCACAAATTCCTCTGCAGCTTTGCCCGATGTTCTCTGGGAACAGTGTACTGGCATCACTGGGAACAGGGCCAAAAGTGAATTGTCACCTCTTCCCAGGAGAGAGAGCACAGCTGTTCTCCGCTGGGGATGCCTTGTGGCCGCTTCTGGCACTGATATCCTAACCAACAGACAGATAAGTCTCCAGGGGCCTGGCTCCTGGTCCCCTGGTCCCCTGGTCCCACAGCTCTCCTGCAGAGCATTTCATTTTTCCCTCTTCCCAATCAGTTCTTGCTCTGAAGTCAGCAAGTTCACCAGGATGTCAACTTTGGGGATTTTAAAAATACTGATAAGATTATAAAAAATTGGGCAATTTTTGCTATGCTGGTAAAATCCCACAATACTTCTTGATAAAACTTAAATGTTGGTATATAATTTATAAGAGAAGATGCCATGAACCTGTACTGCAGGCCCTGGGTTCTATGTGACCTACTAAATGTGTATTTTCGTGCCTACCTGGGTGCCCCTGCAGACCTTGCCGTGAGCTGAAGGATTCCCCCCTTCTAGGTACCACCCATTACTTCCCAAGCTCCTGGCTCTTTCCTCCAGACTCCCAGCCCCAAGGATGGTAGGAGAAGAAAGGGGGAGCCTGAGAGCCCCATAAACACCCACACTCCCTTGTGCCCCACTCTCTAGCCCACCTGCTACCCCCCTGCCCTGCATCACTCTTAATCTGTCCTCACCACCTTCTTGGAACCCAGAGCATGTTGTACCCAAAGGTGCAATTTTCCTCCAGGCTCCCTACATATCTTCAACCCCTAAACCTGGCCCTTTACTAAAGTAGCCGGCTTAGGGACCCTGGCTTAGGGACCCAAACATAGATGAGACATTATTGGGCACTTGGAGTTTTAGTGGGAGACCACTGAGCCGTCCTGTTAAATAGGCAGGCACCTGGAAGCAAATACTAGCTGCAGTGGAAGCCAGAGCAGGCCATGGTCACCTCTGTTGGGGTGGCCAGGGGCCAGAGGATGTTCCTTCCAGGTCTAAGCGCCATAGAAGAGGTGGTCACCAGATGGTGGTTAATTGAGAGGGTGATGCATGCCAAAGACACCATCTGGATCCCTATCTCCAGAATTGCCAGTTCCATGCAAGAGCAAGGAGCTGGAGCAGGGACATCCTGCTGGGAGAACAGGGGTGTCCATCATGTCTCAACAGCACTTCCCACTGGCCCCTCTGTGGACGGGTTCCAGGGTGGCTCCACTTCTGTGAACTCCAGATGAACAGGCGGGTCTCTCTCATTACATTGTTTCTGTTGGGAACTCTTGTCTGAGTTCCAGACAGCTGGATTACAGCACTGCCACCCTTGTCCCCAAGAGCCAGCCTGGCTTCTGACTCTGCCTTGGGGGCTGAGGATCTGGCTTTCATGAGACTTTTGGGGTTTTTTCTTCCGTTATGTGTGGTTTTCCCCTCAACACCACCCCCTACTTTTCTTATTCTTTTTTGAAGTCCACAGTCTTGGGATTTCCCACTTTGGAGCTATTTAGACAGTAATAGGATGCTGACAGGATCCACCAATAAAGGATTCCTGTCCTAGAGGAAAGCTGGCTGGGTGGCCCTCAGTTCCTATCCTGAGGGCTGGTGGCCAGCAGTATTGAAACTCGGGCAGGAGGAATCTGGGGCTGTGGCCACAGAGCCTGCATCTGGACTGTGTGTCCCTGAGCCATTGCGGGCAGCAGCTGGCCCTGTGACTGGGCTCTGCCTGCCCTTCCTTTTGTATCTCTTGAGCCTTGGAGCCTGCCGAGGCCATGGTTTTCTAGGCCTTCACACAATCTGGCTTTCCAACCATAGCCATGTAACCAGAGCTCCGGACGCCTGGGCTTAAGCAGATTGGACAGTCCCTCTGCCATCCTTGCCTAGGGGAGGAAGTTGGAGGGAGTGGGGAAATCCTAAGAGGTAATGGTTATGGCTCTCAGAAGAGAATGACCAGCCTTCACCCCCTGGGCCTGCTGAGTCTGTCCTTTGAGATGGAGCTCGGAGCTCCGTTACTGATAAGTACACACCGCCAGTGTTTCATGACAGGCCTGGGCACAGCAGGTGGATAGACCTGAGTCTGGAACTTGGCCCCTGGAGCTTGTGTAAATGTCTTAGCCTTGCCAAGCCTCAGTTTTCTCATCTGCACAGATGGGTATCCCCACCAGCTGGTTCGGAAGGCAGGGAGGCTGAGAGGTGCTAGTGTCATGGGTTATTATGAGGACAAAGTGAGATAATGCAAAACTCTAGTGTGCTGGGCCTGGAACCCAATTAGTGCCCCTGCCTGACCTGAGAAGAGAGGGTTGTCCCCTTTCTTCCTAGTCCGAGACCACCTTAATGAGCTCACCATGTAGTGAAAAGAAAGCAGAGGCCTCACCTCACCCCCTGTCGTGGGGCCTCTACTGAAGCTGTGCTTGAACAGGATTGCCCAGCCAGAGCCTCAGGAAGATGTTTTCCATGGGAACGTGAGTGTATAGAAAGGAACTATTCTTCTCGAATTGCTCAAATTGTGAATAAAAACCTCAGTGCCTTTCATCTGTGGAACATGGTGGTTTTTCAAACTTTAATTAATTCCCAAAACACCTTTGTGAGTCTGGCAGCTGATGGCTTACAGGTGAGGAACTGAAAGAGGGGAAGCCACTTGCCCCCAGGCTGAGGGAACGGCCCCAGCGCACACCCTCTTCTTCCTGGAGAGTTGGTGTTTGTGTTCCAGAGGCTGACGTGGAGCCCAGGAACTGGGCTGTGTTTACCTTGACTGACAGGATACAGGGCAGGGAAGGAGGCGTGAAGATCATTCATTAGTTCAGGGACAGTTCATGACAGGCCAGTCACGTTCCCCCTGGAGAGGCATCTCCTGAGTCGTTCCTTGGTATGATGAGGGGTCCCTGGCTGACTTGAGCCCAGAGTAGTTTTTGGCAGTGCTGACGTAAAGTCAGGAGAAGCCTGTTCCCTGGCTTCCAGCGGCAACCTCTACAGCTCTTCCTGGCTGCAACCAACGTACCTTGCTTAAGCACCTGATGTGTGCAGTCCAGATTTACCCTTTGAAATATGTCAGGGGAATCCTAACAGGCTAAGTAACAAAGTGAGCACCTGTGGGGCCACAAGAAAGAATTGCACGGAGAAGATGTGGGAGATTTTACTCATTTTTGCCTCCTAATGCCCCTGCCCCACCCTAAGCTTGGCCCAAATATTTGGTGCAAGACTCTGTAGCAATATTTGGGAAGTACACAACAGGCCTGGACACTAAAAGCAGTTGGAAGCACTCATATGAGTGTAGGTGCTCTCTCTGTTCCAGGTATGTTTTCCTCTGAGAGTCAGGACTCCTGTGTCCATGCCCTAAGTGAAGAGAGGCAAGGAGGCTCCTATGGCTAGCCTGGTGGGGGTTATAAGGGTCCTGTGCTGTGGCAAAGTAGCAGACAGGACATTTCTTTGTTGTTGTTGTTTTGTCTGTTTGTTTTCGGTGCTGACTTGCTGCATCTGCCTTGGGCTAACCTGTGTGGCCCAGCCCCTCTGCATGGTCATGGGGATGACTTTCTGCACTTCAGTTTGGGGAAGCTAATTCGTGCTAATTGCAGAACTCAGAAAAGTTTCCTTCTTCATTGGAGTTTTGCTGCTCTGTTTCCAGAAACCTCTGATGTATAACTTGAGGGTATATAAGGTCATTTGTGGCCAGGAGTGACTTTGCAGGTCACATAGAGCCCCACACTCATAGTGACCCTGAGCTGGAGGTTTAATGCTCTGCAGCTGCAGTCTTGAAATTCTCCTGACTTTATCTTAGGATCTGTGTCCTTTAAGGGAAGTCCAACGGGATGATGAGCTGCACCACAGGCTGACAGCATTGGTTGCTGTGGTCCTGTTTACCGCCATCTCCCACCCTCACTGGGTGGGTCATTGCCCCAGCTATGCTCTCTGCCCCTGGTGGTTCCTGGACACAGAAAATATTAGGGTTAGGTATGGTGGAGCATGGTGGCAGCTGTCACCGTCCCAAGCTGGCAGCTGCATAGCCTGTTCAGTGGGCAATCAGAGAGGAACAAACTTCTGCCCTTCCCTGATCCAGGCACCTGGTGCATCCTGGCATGGAGGGTGCACTACCCTTGGCGGTCACCCATCCACCTTGTACCTGGGAAGAACAGACACCTGACTGGACTTCCCTACCCTAATTAGATTGCACCACATTGGCCCAGCAGCTGCCTGGAGAGAAAACCCAACAACTTGTAGGTCCCTGGCTCACTTGCTAGTAGGGTCCCTGTGTACCTGGGGTGGGCTGCAGCCCCCCTGCAGGTGCTCTCATGACACACAATGACATACGTAGCCAACAACAACCACAAAAAAAGCCATGACACACATAATGGAATGAACGTACTTAATGTCACTGCAGTGTACATTGAAAAGTGGTTAAAATGGCACATGTGTTATGCATGCTTTCCCACTACAGAAATGTACTTATAAGGTGCTTTTTTAAAAAAAGGAAAGTCCACCGGGACAGGTGGAGAGAGGTGGCAGGAAGGAAAACATTGATTTGCTACTTAGGGTGCCTGTCCTGGGTGCTTTGTTCCTCCTTTGGAACAAGGGGTCTCATGTTCTCCCTATGCACTGGGTCCCACAAATGAGGTAGCCAGGCCTATCTGTTGAACCCTTTGGAAATCTAGCAAGGCTTGGCCTTTTAAGGGATCCGCCCTCCAGTCCTCTGAGGAAGCTCTGAGCTGAGTAGACACTTACCTGTCTCTGCTTCCCCCCCACAGGTATCGTGTTGGCTGTGTGCCAAGCCCTGGAGAACAGCACGTCCCCCCTGAGCGGTGAGTACAGCCTCCCCAGGATGCAGACAGGGTGTGGCGGGTGGAGCGTGGCCACCGTGGGCCTGTGTCCTCACCATAGGAGCTCCCTTCCTGGGCTCCTGCCCGTGCGTACCTGCCTGTCCCCTCTCTGTGTCCTCTCTTGTCCTCATCTCAGGCAGAGGGACACTCACAGGACAGTCATCACTGCAGGCTGCAGGGGGTCTCTCTTCCCCCGTCTCCCTTTAGCTGTTCTGACAGCCACCACTGCAGGTGGGTGTGCTGGGAAGAGGGCTAGGGGCCCAGGAGCTCAGGACCAGCTCTCGCCCCCATCACATTCCCAAGCCTGTGTCCCCTTCTTCTTACTGTTCTGTGCTGAATAGTTTTCTGGTTTATGTTTTGAAATGTGTAGTAATCATTTCATTTAAAAAAATCTTAGATCAGCATTTTGGAAAGCATGGGAAGTGTAGGAGGCAAACCCCCTCGTGTTCTAAGTCATGTCCTTTGTGCACGTGTGTTCATGGGTTGATGAGTCCCGGTGATTTTGATCCCTCAGGGGTTGAGGTTAGACATTTTTCCATGTTGTGGGAAAGTCCTGAAATCAACCCTTTTAAACTGTTCCAATGTTCCACTAAAATGGGCCTGTGGGGTTTAACGGAGCATCCCCAGTGGATATTCATGGGGTTTCCAGTGTCTTAAATTATGATGCTACACCTCTTCCCACCTAGAAGCTTTTTCTTCTTTTGGATTCTTTCTGAGGCTCTGTCTCTAAGAATAAGAGTACATGCATTTATGACTCTTGGTATTAAGTGCCAAGTGGCTTTCCACGTGAACTGTGCTGATTTTTACCAGCAGTACACAAGTGTGCCAGCCTCACCATTCCCTTGTTAACGGGGTACGTTTCCCTGACTACTTCCCCATGCTACTGCAGTGTCCCTCTAGTAATTTCAGGGGCCCCCAGTGGGAGGTGATGTTTCTTCTGTATTTATAAATTCTCTAACCACCTGCACAGCGTCTCTGGTAACTTGCTCTTCACCTCCTCTAGACCTTTCCATCCAAACCCATTGGAGGTGATACTGCCAACCCCACAGTCCCCTTTTGGCACTGTTATCTTTGATGCATTGGAACCCTTGGGGTACTCACACCACTCAGTGACCCATGCTGAACCAGAAGGAAATGGCTCTCTTCTGTGTAGTGTTTCATTCAAGATGGAGAAGGAGAAGGAGGTGAATGTGTCCATCCCAAAACTGTGCTTCTGGACTCAAGGGTCTGCCAGAGTTTCCTTGAAGCATTTCTTTGACTTTTAATTACCTCCCTCACCACAAAGGGCTCTAATGGGAGCATATGGGGGAAAGAGATGATAGCTTAGTGATTCCACTGCATGTTCTCAGAATTGCCTCATCCCCCATCCTGGGATACATTTACTCCAAGAGCATCAGCCCCTCCTACAGATTGACCTCTGGTCACCTGCCCAAACACTAGAAAGTACTGATATCACTTACATTTGATAGAACCTCACACTAAGCCACCTAGGGGCTCCTATCAGTTCTGATCTTGCCACTTATTTCAAGGCTTCTGGATGGCCTGAGATGCTTCCTGTGTTTTCCATGCCCTTCCTGAACCCTTCTTGACCTTGAAGGGTTGAAGTGAGGCATAAAGACCTTGAAGTTGGGCCACATGGGTTGGATGGAGGCCTGTGCCCTGGGTCTCCATCCCTGATTCCCCAGCTCTCTCTGCAACCCCTCCTGGTCCTCACTGTAGGACCTCGTAGGCCAAGATCCAGGTTCTAAGTTATTTTCAGGTAACAATAGAATGATGGTAAATGCGGATGTTGCCATCCATGGGGAAGGGTACGCTCTTGGTTGTTACCCCTTCTTCAAGTCTCCATCCATTCATCCAGACAAGAAGAGCCTGAGGAATGTCATCTTTGAGCCTGTTCCTTTAGGGCCTGGCATTGCTTCTACCTAGGCTCTCTGGGCTTTCCTAAGTCCTTCTGGAGACACCTGATACATTGATCCAGAAAAACGACTATCCTCACCAGAATAGTGGCCAACCTCTCTGTTTCACCTTTATTTTCTGGATTTCCTCCCATGAGAATGTCGCTGAGGTTTGTTCTTTCTCATTACGATGTCAGAAAACACCAGCCAAGCTGGTCATGGCTGCACATGCCTGTGTGATAGACTGAGTGCCACTCTGAGTCCTGAGGTGGCAGGTGAGGGCAGAAGCAGGGTGCATTCAACGTTCAGAGAACCCTGAGCCCCAGAGCTGGCCCCTGTGCACAGGGGAGGGGCTGCCTGTCTGGCTTCTCGGTCACTGTCTGTTGGATGGGGCACTTAGCCCCAGGACTGGCACCCCCAGTGTCTTAGAGATCAATGACATGGCTCTGTCCACCTCTACTTTCTGTCTTGTACCATGGAACCCAGCCATGAGTCGGGAGGGGGTTGGACCAAGAGACAAATCTAAATGGTGATGACTACATCATTGTCACCCCTCCAAAAGCAGGGTTTGGTAGCTAAATTGGAATTGTTTGCTTTACTTCCTCTTTCTTTGGGCCTGATGGATCTTACTACCCCACCCCATCCCATCCCTTCCCACCCCACTCTGACCTCACTAGACAAGGCTGAAATCCTGTGTGGGTAAAGCTCAAACTGGGGACCAACACCCACCAGCCACACTTAAAACTACCTGGCACTGGAGTGATCATGTGTATGTACATGCATGTGTGTTTAACTCTTGGCTAATTTAAGAAGTGAAGCTCTTAGCATTGTATTGTAGATGTCTTCGTCCACAGAAGAAGATAAGTAGTAGTGAAATCTATCACCATATATTATCACCGCGTTTCCACAACTAGCACCCCTCTGCCATTTTTCTTTTATCTACCTACCTCTGTTTGTTTTCCCCTTTGGAAATTTGGGTATTTTAAAGCAAAGTCCATTTCACTTGTGAACACTTCAATATGTGTCTTGACAGATAAGGACTTTTAAGCACAAAACTGTAGTTTCATTACCATGCCAACAGAAGCAACACTGATTCCTTTCATCAGATCCTTAACATGGAGGATAGATGAGACTGTACTTAGTTTTGTGCTTTTTGACTTTTCATCTGCATTTACTTTGCATCTGTGGATTTGGGTGTCCATAGGGTCAGGGGATGTCTTTTCACTCTGTGAACTAGAATGAGAAGCTATAATGGATGTAAGATAGAGTCTGATACATTCTTGACTGACAGCACTGGAGCCAGAGGGCCATAGGAGTACTCAGGGGGAGGCCCAGCCATTAGGGGAGCCTTGTAGAGAGAAAATTGCAAGCTCCGTGTGCCAGTCAAGGTTGGTAATGGGGCTCTAAGAAACAGGGACTGATCTCATGTATGTTTCTTCTGCATTTTAGGGACGAAAAAAAATCCATGACATTTTTATTTGACAGATGCCCTTGGTCTTTCTCTGTGAGATTTCCTTTCTTCCTGCCTCTTGGGTCCCCAAATATAGAGGGGAAATGATACCAGAGGCATAAAGAACTGGATCATCATCAGCATGTTCTTCTCAGACATTTGCTTTTGTTGGGACAGTGGAAGGCAATGGGGCCTTAGGTTGGAGGCCCAGAACTTAGTGTTTGGGCCCACATGGTTCCAGACTTTTTAGGTCCCTGACCAAGTCATTATTTATCAGGTTGCTGTTTGGATTTGTTTCCTCAACTGTTGGATTTAGGATTGGCTTTTAAGATTCTTCACCTGACACTGATGGATTGGTAGAGAGGACTTGGAGAGCTGGGTTGGGAGGGATTATAAGGCTGCCTTCAGGTTTTCAAGAAGTCCTGAGGTGATCAATTGATGGTACCCACTGAGGACTCAGAGAAGTAGTAATGTGACCACCACATACAGTGGGCCCTCTGTGTCCTGAGGTTCCACATCATCAACCAACCACAGACCAAAAATATCTGGGAAAAAATTGCATCCCTACTGAACATGTACAAGCTTTTTGAATGTTGCTATTCCCTAAACTATTAATAGAGTGTAACAACTATTTACATAGCATTAACATAATAGTAAGCATGATAAGCAATCTAGGGATGATTTTTTAAAGTCTACAGGAGACAGGCGTAGGTTATACGCAAATACTATGCCACTCTATATAAGGGACTTGAGCATCTGTGGATCTGGGTGTCCACAGGGTCAGGGGAAGTGCTAGAACCAATCCTTCAGGGATATCAAGTAGTGACTATTTGATTCTCTTGGAACTGGATGCTGCTGTACATTCACATTTTAACCCTCTAAGGGCTGGAATCATGTGCAAAGAAGCAGACTCTCTCCAGGCGCCCACTCCACAGGTGATCCAAGAACAAGGGAACTTATAACAAGAGCATCTTTATGACATGGGCAGCTTTGCTGACCACTTAGTGTGTGATTTAGAAAATACTTGCTGTGGGAGTTAAACCAATAGTCTGGGGTTTGGGACAGAACATTTTTATCTGGTTGGTTGTCAACTTGCAGAGCATAGAGAGAAACATTAGCTAGAGGCAGCTAAGGGTGGCAGCACCCACAGCTCAGAACACCTGTCACGCCCTCCCAAGGAAGGAGTTACGACCTATCTTCAAAAGGTGCTTTTTAATGCCCCTTAAAAGGGTCAGAATGCACCCTGGTTAAGAAGTTGCTGGGTAGCTGCTTGCTTAACCTTCAGAAATGTTGTCTGGTTCCCAAGCCACCCATCTGGTTTTCATATTTTCATGAGACTCCCTCTGGTGACTGAGGGGGTGTGGTGAGGGCCCTGCTCAGGGCGCTCAGGAGCCAGGCTTCAAGCTTCCCACTGCCATCTGCCTGGCAAGATCTGCTTACATACTCGAGGCGACTTCTGCCCTTTCCTCTAGCCTGTTTCTAATGATGCCCATCTGGAATCGGGGCATGTTTGAGGGCTTGCCTAATTTAGTGTCTGGGAGGCTTTTCAGAGATGATGATAGAACATGGAAAATTCAGTGGGGTTATTTAAGGAGAATGTCACCACCATCAACTCAGGGAGGGGGGATGATAGTCGG